CGTGTGATCCGTTCCCTCGAGTGGTTGAAGTAAAAGAGAAAGAGTCGTCTGTGCGTGGCTGGAATGTCTGTTTTCTACGGCGTCGTAATGGCCGACTCATTGAGTCGTCASGCYGCGTAATGGCTGGTGAGTGCCGGTCGTTGGAGAGAGATGGCAGATGGGTGCTGTTAGCAAAATCAGCTGCGGGCTGGCGTGGCCTAGTTGCCACATACTTGTATATGAACTTGATTTACATACTTGTATATACTATAGAGTGAAAGAATCAGAAATAAAATAATGATATATTAAAAGTTAGCGTGGTTTTAATCCGATTTCGGTCATTTCCAGACTGTAATATAATAATGTGAGAATAATTTTATGCACCAAATTGAGYTGAAATTCGCCGTATAGTTTCTTTTATACAAGATTTCCACCTGAAAGGTTCCCAGTACCGTGCCCGTTGTTAAATTTTTACGTCGATAAAGACCTTAGCACCAACTTGGCATTGAAAATTAATGATGGTGGTGGTCTATCTCACTTTTTTGTAGTTTTTATCATAACTGCCAATTGGGAGTGTAATCGATGTGTACTTAAGCACTGTAAATGAAAGTGGTACACATTTCTAAACTCAACATCATAATGTACCAATTAAATTATTTTATTTATAATCAGTTAATTTTTGACATTGCTTTTTAATTTAATATTACAGATCAAAACTCTTGGTGCCAGGTAGCATACTGGGAGCTAAATGAACGCGTTGGAAATCGTTGTTCTGTTCATAAACCTTTTTTGAACATTTATGCGGATGGAAGGGGAAATAATAACGACAGTCAGGATTTTTGTTTAAGAGATTTGACTGCAGATAAGACAACACCTCCTCGAGAGGATGTTGAATGTACGCGACAAAAAATTGGTTTTGGTAAGTAGGAACTATATTCCTATACTACAATCTAGTTCTAGCTTATTTGTTTATTGTGTTTTCTCATACTTTATAGGTCTTATATTAAGTCAAGAGCCAGATGGAATTTGGCTTTACAACCGGTCTATGGCACCCGTTTTTATTTTATCACCAACCTTGAATGAAAGCTTGTCATGCGTTTATAAAGTGACACCAGGAGATTGCCTTAAAGCTTTCGATATTAATAGGTAAATGTCTTAAAACATATTATGACATTTGAAATTTCTATCTTACATATTCACTTTTTTACCAGGTCTCAATCGCTGATTTGTTCTTCACAACTTCCTGGTGCAGAACTGGGTCCAGTAAATACGCGAAGTATCTGCATTAGTTTCGTTAAAGGTTGGGGTAAACACTATAAACGGCAAAATATTATGAAATGCCCTTGCTGGCTTGAAATATTTTTTACACAGCGGTGACATCCTATTGCTACTAAATTTGAAATAAAAAATTACAGAAATTTCAAATTCATCGTTACACAACGACTATATCATTATATAGCATAATATAGTGAATTTATCTGCTATTGCCTTTTCCGTCAATGTCGCAATTACGAATTATGGAATGATCTAGCTGTTACGAGGACATGCGTATGCAATACATTTAAATGGAGAACATTGTCATATACTTGGAACTAATTAAGGAGAGCCAAGAAAAAATTAAGATAAGAAAGTCCTGTGATTAAAATACTTACGATAGTTAGGAATTATTATTATTTGAGTATCTTTTACATTTTAGTAAACTACATCTGAAATGGAAGTAACATAAGTTATCGAAAATAATGCGAGCGTTGATCGCTTTTAGTGCCTAATTAAAATTGATACAGACTAACCTTAAGCAAGAATAGTGTCCGAATTTGTTCATATGTATACGTACATACATATTTACTATTTAAATTCTATCTTTATATCACATACATACAACCATACAAACATAYATATAATATATAGTACATATATATGAATATGCCTGTTTTATTCAGCTTAAGTAGTAAAGGAGGACAAATGTAGAAAAAATAATTTGTCTGAGGCAGTTTCAATAAGAGAAATGAAGATAAAAGCAAAGACTTAATTATTAATATTTAGAAAAATCACATACCTGCTTACTTACTTAAGCTTCTACATTATTTTGTATGCGCATATTGCACGTACATTTATATATTATTAATAAATACATATGGATGTGTATCCAGAACCATTGACATACATATGCATTATACAGTAAGTTAACTTTTCTCACAGAGATCAAAAAWTATAATTTTRGTATTTATGTATATTGAAATAAAAAATCATTATTGTTTTATATATTTTATTATTAACACTTTGTAACCACCTCACAGAGGCTCACAATCAAAAGAGATAAGGTATTAAATTAAAACACAAGGATAGTATATTGGACCTGTAAATGAAATGTGCGTATTTGACAACGCACAGTTTTAGATGAAAATTAGTCTTTTTATGTTAGATTATATGGGCGACTTTGCAATTTGAGGAAACTTTTGACTTTATATCGTAAGTACGGTTCAATTTGCAAGACATCTGATGGGATTAAGAGTACCTTTTCTAATAGYAWTGTGGGCTAAATAGGTAATATAAATATTTGTTGTTGTAGTTGACGTTATATAATATATGGCTGTTAATACCTCAGTTATATGAATATAATTAAGTGAACATATTAACTTGAACAAACTGCAGTTAACATATTGATATAGGGCGCGTTCGTGAAGGCAATCACGATAACAGTGTTGYAAATTAATGTCTCACGTTGCCAATTTTTAGACGCAATTTATRCAAAAATCGGTAACACTAATTTTTGCCTGCACATCAACAGAGTTGATGAGGAGATGGTTTCATATGTAGAAGTTCACGCAAATGGGGAAAGCTCTCTGAGGGCCATTCACTTGGGAGAGACCAGAAACCAAGTATCCTCTGGGCCAAAGTACATCCGTTTGAAGGTGATTTAAAGTCAGAATGCGAACCATTTTTCTCCAGAGTTCTACGCTTTGTTTGAATCCACCACGTAAAAAACGTGCCAATTAAAAATAAACAACAGAGAGATCTCCTTTGGATTAAGGATTACGATTTAAGGCCATGCACGTGGAACCTCCGGTCCCTTAATTGGGGAGATACTGCTGCCCAGCTAGTTTATGTCCTCGTAAAAGGAAAGGCTGATATCACAGTGATATCGGAGTGCCATGTCGCAGTGGAGAGATAACAGACTGCCTACCTCACAACGTTATAAACGACCACAACACGTGGCGGGATGGCATACTTATTGAGAGTCGAAAAGGCAAGAGAGGCTCATTTGCAGACAAAGAAGAGAGATGCCGAAATCCGTGAGTACACAGAGTTGGACATGGTGAATAGCAATTACCTGTCTAAAGGACAACAAAGCAGCGGAGTCGATTGATTGCCGGCCCAGCCATTCAAATATATATTGGTAAGGAGCACGCATCAGCTTTTTCATAAATATGCGTTCGAATTTAAGTGTTATCTCCGCAATTAAAAAAAGGGAGATCCCACAAACTACGCCAACTACCGTGGGATAAGCCTACTCAACATCGAATGCTAAGGTCTATCGAGCGCATTGTGTAATAGATTAAAGACCACCATCAGCAAATTGATGTGACCTTATCGGAATGGCGTTAGGCCTGGAAAGTCAGCAACGGACCAAATATTTACGATGGGCCAAATCATGGAAAAGACCCTTGAAATGAAGATCGACACACAACACCTCTTCGTCGATTTCAAAGTCAGCACGAAAATGAGCTGCCGCTATATCTGAATTTTGTATCCTTGCAAAACTAACACGACTATGTAAACTGATGAAACTCCTTTAAGATCGGGGAGAACTCTTCGCGTCGTAGAGACAAAATCTATTGATTTTAGACTGGGTAACGAAGCAAATGTATCTGCTAGTGAACGAGGGCAAGATGAAATATTTTCTGTCATCAAACAAACAGTCGGTAAATTGTTGTTGTTCCGCAGCCACCCAGAGCTCAGATGTGGCCCCCAGACTTTTTTTGTTTCCTTTCCTGAAAGGCAAATATTTTGGGAGGACAGAGGTGATCCAAGTAGCATACACCGGCTCTCAAGGCTAATCTGGGGAATGCCTTCCGTTACGTCTTTAATGCTTGGAAATATTTTGAGAGTTTTTAAATAATTGTAACGATTGGTTTATTAAATTTTTTTAAATCGATTCAGTCTTATTACTTTCCGGACAAACTCTGTATACAGTGAACTTTAGGACAGAAATATAAAATAAACACAAATATTATTAGATATTTTGATTTACATATGTATATTACGAATTAAATATAAAATGTTTTATTATAAATGACTATTTCGCTTTAATTTTTTCAGTATCAGTCGTGCAAACACAAAATTTCTATTATTTCTGTTGCAAGCATCACCTAAAAGTAAGAGCTATAGATAAATAAAATTGTATAAGGGGGATGGAACCGCCCATTTTTAGGTAAAATCACATATTTTAGAACCGGTGGAACAGATTTCAACCACATCGGTACATACCATTTTTTTGTCGCAATGTGAAAATGGGCGAAATCGGACAGCAACACAATTTAAAATCCATTTAATTCTTTCACCATCGGTTATACATATCAATAAGAATATAATATAACGGAATAAAACTTTGCACGAATAATCGAATAAGAGTACTCCGCCTTGTGCCCAAAAATTGTTCGAATCCAAAAAAACTATTCAATAGTTACTTCTATAGTTGACTTTTGACCGCAAAATCGGTCAATGTTGAAATTCAGGGATAATCTCTTCCTGACAATGGTTTGTCTGTGCGTTAGAAATGGTACGCACCGTGTAAATATTGGGTAGTCGAAAAGTCTTTTTTAAAATCTCACCTCTCCAATGCTATATAGTATAACACAATGTGGTTGGTAGCACTGGAGAAAAGACTTTTCGACTACCCAATTTTTCCCTTAACAATTTTCGTATTTCCAGGTGACTTTATCGCGCATATGAAAATGAGAGAGTTTGGAGATAACAATATATTTTTGTCCTTAAACTAGATAAAATTGGATGAAATTTTGACCTAGCCACAAACACATAATATCCGGGAGACCTTACTCTATATTTACGCATTGGTGATGGTATGTGAGGTAACATTAATGAATCTCAGAGAATATTTTATTAGTCGTGACATATTAGTGGTTGTAGTATTGGCAAAAATAGACAAAACCGGTTCATATTACCCCCAACTCCCATATCTTCTCCTTGATTGATTTGGTCACCGCTTACGCGATTATAGCCGAGTTAACAACAGCGCGCCAGTCGTTTCTTCTTTTCGCTACGTGGCGCCAGTTAGATATTCCAAGTGAAGCCAGGTCCTTCTCCACTTGGTCCTTAAAACGGAGTGGAGGTCTTCCTCTTCCTCTGCTTCCCCCGGCGGGTACTGCGTCGAATTCTTTCAGAGCTGGAG